TTTTTTTTTTACAAGGTGTCCTATTCTAGACTAATCCTTGGGTCTGTGATCCGGCCCCTCTTCACACAGTCCGGTTAATCGCAGGATGTGCCTCCAACTGCCCTCTTTTGTTATATCCACTCAACTTCGTGAATAAGAGACAAATCTCTATCATCTTTTAATTAAAATATTATATAAGAAGAGTCCTTCATGGTCCTCAATCTTTTTGGACAGTCTCGTTTAAGATATTTTTCAAATACGAAAATGACAAGCAATAAAAAATTGCACAACTAAACAAATTTTGATCATGGACGCAAAGAAGGAAATAAAAAATTAATTTCACCACATTATATTACATCATAGTGCACGTTCAAAACTATTTAACACGGGGTGTGACAAATGATGAAAGCTTTATCACATCTTTACAATGGAATTGACACACTCCAAGATCAACACATCCCTAGTGGTGATGGTGCAGGCATTCGACCGGAGCGACCGGGAATCTCGAGGTATCTTTGCAATAGTCGTAAACCATGTGATTGGCCCGAACCCACTGAAGCTGGTGGCTCTGGTGGAGGCTCAGTTCCGACATTGTTGGCTCATCCCACCAATACCCTTTCTCGCCACCAGTGGCGCTACATCGCTTGATGTTATCGACAGCTGCCACTACCTCAGGACACTCACAAGCATCGATCTCGAATCCCGTGTAGCTTGCAATGAAAGGGGCATGTGACCAATCAGTCTTCACTCTCCCACCTTGTGTGGCCCAATCATCAGCATTCCATATCGAGCTGTAAACTCCCATGGATTGGTCTTTAGGATATGGAATCCCCTTGTGCTCCAAATTCGAATGTACACGAACCGGCGTCAATTATCTTAACTAATAGAATATTGACTTTGGATGGTGCCTAGGCCTTATGAATGAATATTAACTATTCGATTGGGAATTATTTGTTGAGCAATAATGTAATGGCAATCATTTCTAGCTGCATATTTACCTTATTCTCAATGGGCAATTATTGAATATTTTTGAATGAAATATTTTTTTATTGGACATATTTAGTACATTCCACTTCACGTGATTATATAGAATTATTGAAGAGATGCATGTAATAAAATTGGTTGACTGTCACACCATATTGAATATGCAATATTGCCTATTTTGGCTGGATTATAGCTTCTTTCAAAGATTAATTAGTACAGATGATTTGATAGCATTAATAAAGAGATGGATGGCCCTTCATGGGGTGGTCGAGTTGGTGGAATAAGTGAGCGCTTAGATCTTTGGTTACGAGTTCGATTCCCCTTACCAACACTTTCTCGATCGAATCTGTTACACCGAACTTGCAGAGTGCGATTTACCTGACTGACAGGTTCTCCTGTCATCCAAAAAAATAAAGGGATGGATGTTATAACAGTTATTAATTAACACGTTTAATTCATTTCACTCTATGTAAAAACCAAATCAATATAAATAATACAGTTGGTTTACACTAATTGGCAATTAAATCTACTTTAATTATTATGCTTGGCATCAACCGATATTTGGTGGGGGTGGATTTTACTTTTTGTGATTAGGAATTGTGGAGATAAATATTTGGTAATTGAGGTGCTATGAAACTTAAAATTCTGCTCTCTTTTAGAAGATTGGAAGGTAATTTTGATTCACTTAAATAATTTATCTACTCTACAATAAAGATTGGAAGGTAGATTTTGTTCACAAAGAATTTCAAGGAACTTATTCCAAGTAAATTTACATTAAGATTTGAAATGACAAATATTAAAATTAGAGTTTGTGTTCAAAAGTTTGTGAAAGATGTCAATTATAGTTATTTGTTCCTATCAGAAACATGAACGAAGATAACAGTAATCAGAGTCACTAAAGGATTCAATATTTAAATAGAGAATCTGTTTTGCCATGAAATGAATATATTTATATATTTCTTATTCATATTTATGAAAAGACTATCATAAGAATTGGTTCACGTAAAAATGGACATATTGATAAGTTATCGTAAGATTACATATAGAATATTAGAGAAAATTATTCATGTCTAAGTTATTTTGGTTATAAATAAATAAGGTCAGGTGATTTCTAGGCCATCGACCAATATCATGGACTACTCAAAAGAATATCAGATGGATTTCAAGCAAGACAAGGAGATCGGTAGAATACTACAAACAGAAAGTGTTCCTAATAAAAAAATAAATTTGGGTAATCGATACATGTTTTGTTAAATCACCTATAAGAACCATAATACAATCCAACGTGCCCCATGAAAAGTAATGAATTTCAATACTTATAAATAATTATAAGCAAGCCCAAACATGTGTTAAAACCATCCAAAGGTGAGTAACTCCACTGTGGCATGGAAAGGCTAATCCATGTCCCTTCCCTAGCCCCACCTAAAATTTAAGAGAAAAATTCATAATTAAGAGATTAAGTTTCACTTATTTCAAAAAATATTAATAATGGTTTCAAATTTTAAAAATCAGATACTTGTTAAAATTTATTTATGATTTACTTAATTAATTAATTATACATTTCATTAATTAAATATATTAATGTCATAAATCTATACAATTTGGTCACAAATTAACGATTTAGTTAGTCACATTATTTTTCATTCACAAATCAGAAGTTTATATGTTACAAATTATTATATGGTCACAATTCAAAAATTTTATAGTTCAAAGTTTTTTTTATTAGTCATAAATCACAAATATGATAAGTCACAACCATTAGACAATCACAAATTATCTCACAAATTAACATTTTTAGATCACACATTATTTTTTTTTTTTTTATCACAATTTATCTTTCTCATTGGTTACATATTGTTTATTAGTCATGGACCATTGCCAACATATACAACCACACTTCATCACTGCCTCCGGTAGCACCATTACCAACGTTGCCACCAGAACCACCATCACAACTCTCAACAGCAACACCATTGTGACCATCACCCACTATCGCATCGCACAGAGCACTATCGTTAAACACCACCACCGCACAACAACCAGTTAGCATCACTAGAGCCACCACCACGTTGACATCACCATCACAGACAACACATCGTACCCACAACACCACCACCACCTAACCATTGCACTATACCACATACAGCACCACAAACATGCATCCTAACCAGATCCAATCACCACCACCACCACCACATCATCAAAACCACCGTCGCTAAAACCACCACCACAGCCATATATCACCATATCTAATCGACTAAGAGCACTGTGACATTATCCAAAAACCAGATACCAATGACTGTGGTCGTAGCGACATCATCACGACAAATGCAAAACACGAACGCTATCAAATGATGCTGCGAACCACAACACCATTAGTAGCGGCACCCGCGCATGATAGCTCCTACGAACGGCGAACAATATTGCCATGTGAAGTTCGGTAGAGAGACGATTTCGATGCGTATTGAAATATAAAGACGACATCATCACCATATCGGACAACAGCAGATCACAGCAACGTCATCTAGATACTCTCTAGCGACGGCTTACGATAGTTGCAATAGAGAGGATAGAAGATGGGATAGAGAACGAAAATTATTAGGGTTTGGGAGTGGTTGGGTATGGTTAGGTGGGATTAACATATATATTTAATTTTGTAGTATTTAAAATTTTTATTATCATCTGATTTTTAAAAAGAAAACTTGTAAATATTAATTTTGAATTGCGAAGTTTAGAACTCTTGTTGGCTGTAATTTCCACAAAAATTAGCACGTTGTGGAGACAGCCTTTCTTTTGGGCTGTGTCATAATGGGCCCACTGACCTTTTACAGTCCCGTGAAATGGCCCCGTGAACGGGGCACTATAGCCCACTTGATTTAATAAATTAAACCTCAAAATAATCACTATTCTCCCTTTTTGTGGATGCGTATAGGGAATACATGGATGGTAAAAAATTCTTCTCTCAAAAATTGGAGACAGGATTTCTCAACTAATCGAGATGTCGAGGCAGGGACAAAATCCCTCAACCGGTGGTAAAAATCGAGGTCAACAAAAGTATCTTCCGTTTTCTTATCCATGATATAATTATGCAAGAGGTCAATCGATAGGACCCTCTTTTGTTATATCCACTCAACTCCGTGAATAAGAGACAAATCTCTATCATCTTTTAATTAAAATATTATATAAGAAGAGTCCTTCATGGTCCTCAATCTTTTTGGACAGTCTCGTTTAAGATATTTTTCAAATACGAAAATGACAAGCAATAAAAAATTGCACAACTAAACAAATTTTGATCATGGACGCAAAGAAGGAAATAAAAAATTAATTTCACCACATTATATTACATCATAGTGCACGTTCAAAACTATTTAACACGGGGTGTGACAAATGATGAAAGCTTTATCACATCTTTACAATGGAATTGACACACTCCAAGATCAACACATCCCTAGTGGTGATGGTGCAGGCATTCGACCGGAGCGACCGGGAATCTCGAGGTATCTTTGCAATAGTCGTAAACCATGTGATTGGCCCGAACCCACTGAAGCTGGTGGCTCTGGTGGAGGCTCAGTTCCGACATTGTTGGCTCATCCCACCAATACCCTTTCTCGCCACCAGCGGCGCTACATCGCTTGATGTTATCGACAGCTGCCACTACCTCAGGACACTCACAAGCATCGATCTCGAATCCCGTGTAGCTTGCAATGAAAGGGGCATGTGACCAATCAGTCTTCACTCTCCCACCTTGTGTGGCCCAATCATCAGCATTCCATATCGAGCTGTAAACTCCCATGGATTGGTCTTTAGGATATGGAATCCCCTTGTGCTCCAAATTCGAATGTACACGAACCGGCGTCTCATCGACCAAGAATCTAAACAAAAACACATTACACAAACTTCTAAGATAATCATTCGATAATCTTTAACCGAATACACGAGTAAAATTGATTTTCGACCAAATTAAAATGAAGAATGGTGCTTACACAACTTGGCGACGATTCCAGAGAAGTGAGTACGAATGAAAATCCTTAGTAGGGTCAAACCAGAGGTTCAATCTTTGTTCCCTATTGCCAACTCCATTGACATATACATTGGTCTGTACTAGGTAAGGTTCCCCTGTGGTGTTGCCCAGGAACTCAAAATCAAATTCATTGTGATATGGGCCCTCTGATGACATCTGATTACATACATATAACAATATTATGATCAGATCAGTCTTTTTGATTAAGAGATAAATGAAGTTCTATACAAAAAAGTAGGTTTAAATAAGGAAAATTTCAGCTGTGTCAAATTGAAATATTTTTCTTTCTGACAGTCTAAATAAATGCATTGAACGAAACTGGGCAATTATAAAGATATTTGTTCAATCTTGCAAGGAAATACAGTAAAAATGAGTGAAAATATACAGTGAAATAAATGAAAATGGGTGAGAAATGAAGAAGTTTACATAGAAAGCAGTGACAGTTCCAGCAGAATCACCCTCTACTAGCTTGATCTTAATACTGACTTTCCCAAACATATATTTGCTCTTTGATGAAAACCCAGCTCCTGCATTGCAAAAATAAGAAACTTATTCTCTTAAAAGTAGAAAATCAGAAAATATGACTAACAGTGAGTATCAACACTTAAAATTGAGAAATTGCAAGAAATTTTACATGATGAGAACTTTCAACTTGAAAACTTTCTGTATAACCCTTTTTTGACAAAAAAAAAAAAAACACCTAAAAACGAATGGGTTTCATACCAGAATAGTTGTCGAGTTTCATCTTCATAAGCTCTCCTTCATAGGCAAAATGGTCAAGTGCCCAGCTGGGCTGAAAGAGCTCATCAAATCTTGATGAACTCACAGAACCCACCATTGCAAAAGCAATGAAAACTCCCAAAACCAAAGACCCCATTGAAATTGGAACAGAAGACGCCATTGATTGAAAGAGAGAGAGAGAGAGAGAGAGAGAGAGAGAAGAGAGACTTCTACTTCTCTGGTGAAAAGTAATGAATTTCAATACTTATAAATAATTATAAGCAAGCCCAAACACGTGTTAAAACCATCCAAAGGTGAGTAACTCCACTGTGGCATGGAAAGGCTAATCCATGTCCCTTCCCTAGCCCCACCTAAAATTTAAGAGAAAAATTCGTAATTAAGAGGTCAAGTTTCACTTATTTCAAAAAATATTAATAACGGTTTTAAATTTTAAAAATCAGATACTTGTTAAAATTTATTTATGATTTAATTAATTAATTAATTATAGATTTCATTAATTAAATATATTAATGTCATAAATCTATACAATTTGGTCACAAATTAACGATTTAGTTAGTCACATTATTTTTCATTCACAAATCAGAAGTTTATATGTTACAAATTATTATATGGTCACAATTCAAAAATTTTATAGTTCAAAGTTCTTTTTATTAGTCATAAATCACAAATATGATAAGTCACAACCATTAGACAATCACAAATTATCTCACAAATTAACATTTTTAGATCACACATTATTTTTTTTTTTTTTATCACAATTTATCTTTCTCATTGGTTACATATTGTTTATTAGTCATGGACCATTGCCAACATATACAACCACACTTCATCACTGCCTCCGGTAGCACCATTACCAACGTTGCCACCAGAACCACCATCACAACTCTCAACAGCAACACCATTGTGACCATCACCCACTATCGCATCGCACAGAGCACTATCGTTAAACACCACCACCGCACAACAACCAGTTAGCATCACTAGAGCCACCACCACGTTGACATCACCATCACAGACAACACATCGTACCCACAACACCACCACCACCTAACCATTGCACTATACCACATACAGCACCACAAACATGCATCCTAACCAGATCCAATCACCACCACCACCACCACATCATCAAAACCACCGTCGCTAAAACCACCACCACAGCCATATATCACCATATCTAATCGACTAAGAGCACTGTGACATTATCCAAAAACCAGATACCAATGACTGTGGTCGTAGCGACATCATCACGACAAATGCAAAACACGAACGCTATCAAATGATGCTGCGAACCACAACACCATTAGTAGCGGCACCCGCGCATGATAGCTCCTACGAACGGCGAACAATATTGCCATGTGAAGTTCGGTAGAGAGACGATTTCGATGCGTATTGAAATATAAAGACGACATCATCACCATATCGGACAACAGCAGATCACAGCAACGTCATCTAGATACTCTCTAGCGACGGCTTACGATAGTTGCAATAGAGAGGATAGAAGATGGGATAGAGAACGAAAATTATTAGGGTTTGGGAGTGGTTGGGTATGGTTAGGTGGGATTAACATATATATTTAATTTTGTAGTATTTAAAATTTTTATTATCATCTGATTTTTAAAAAGAAAACTTGTAAATATTAATTTTGAATTGCGAAGTTTAGAACTCTTGTTGGCTGTAATTTCCACAAAAATTAGCACGTTGTGGAGACAGCCTTTCTTTTGGGCTGTGTCATAATGGGCCCACTGACCTTTTACAGTCCCGTGAAATGGCCCCGTGAACGGGGCACTATAGCCCACTTGATTTAATAAATTAAACCTCAAAATAATCACTATTCTCCCTTTTTGTGGATGCGTATAGGGAATACATGGATGGTAAAAAATTCTTCTCTCAAAAATTGGAGACAGGATTTCTCAACTAATCGAGATGTCGAGGCAGGGACAAAATCCCTCAACCGGTGGTAAAAATCGAGGTCAACAAAAGTATCTTCCGTTTTCTTATCCATGATATAATTATGCAAGAGGTCAATCGATAGGACCCTCTTTTGTTATATCCACTCAACTCCGTGAATAAGAGACAAATCTCTATCATCTTTTAATTAAAATATTATATAAGAAGAGTCCTTCATGGTCCTCAATCTTTTTGGACAGTCTCGTTTAAGATATTTTTCAAATACGAAAATGACAAGCAATAAAAAATTGCACAACTAAACAAATTTTGATCATGGACGCAAAGAAGGAAATAAAAAATTAATTTCACCACATTATATTACATCATAGTGCACGTTCAAAACTATTTAACACGGGGTGTGACAAATGATGAAAGCTTTATCACATCTTTACAATGGAATTGACACACTCCAAGATCAACACATCCCTAGTGGTGATGGTGCAGGCATTCGACCGGAGCGACCGGGAATCTCGAGGTATCTTTGCAATAGTCGTAAACCATGTGATTGGCCCGAACCCACTGAAGCTGGTGGCTCTGGTGGAGGCTCAGTTCCGACATTGTTGGCTCATCCCACCAATACCCTTTCTCGCCACCAGCGGCGCTACATCGCTTGATGTTATCGACAGCTGCCACTACCTCAGGACACTCACAAGCATCGATCTCGAATCCCGTGTAGCTTGCAATGAAAGGGGCATGTGACCAATCAGTCTTCACTCTCCCACCTTGTGTGGCCCAATCATCAGCATTCCATATCGAGCTGTAAACTCCCATGGATTGGTCTTTAGGATATGGAATCCCCTTGTGCTCCAAATTCGAATGTACACGAACCGGCGTCGCATCGACCAAGAATCTAAACAAAAACACATTACACAAACTTCTAAGATAATCATTCGATAATCTTTAACCGAATACACGAGTAAAATTGATTTTCGACCAAATTAAAATGAAGAATGGTGCTTACACAACTTGGCGACGATTCCACAGAAGTGAGTACGAATGAAAATCCTTAGTGGGATCAAACCAGAGGTTCAATCTTTGTTCCCGATTGCCAACTCCATTGACATATACATTGGTCTGTACTAGGTAAGGTTCCCCTGTGGTGTTGCCCAGGAACTCAAAATCAAATTCATTGTGATATGGGCCCTCTGATGACATCTGATCACATACATATAACAATATTATGATCAGATCACTCTTTTTCATTAAGAGATAAATGAAGTTCTATACAAAAAAGTAGGTTTAAATAAGGAAAATTTCAGCTGTGTCAAATTGAAAAAAACGAATGGGTTTCATACCAGAATAGTTGTCGAGTTTCATCTTCATAAGCTCTCCTTCATAGGCAAAATGGTCAAGTGCCCAGCTGGGCTGAAAGAGCTCATCAAATCTTGATGAACTCACAGAACCCACCATTGCAAAAGCAATGAAAACTCCCAAAACCAAAGACCCCATTGAAATTGGAACAGAAGACGCCATTGATTGAAAGAGAGAGAGAGAGAGAGAGAGAGAGAGAGAAGAGAGACTTCTACTTCTCTGCAAATGCTTTGGTGCAGTGGACCAATTCGAGGAATTGGGGTAGGTTTTATAGCCAAAGTGTATTGGCTTCACTAGGAAGCCTTATTGCCACGTCACTGGGTTATGACCATGTCAGACACGATTCTCGAAGTGACAATTGCGAAATTTTTTAAATAGCCCACGCAACTTTATGCTTTAATTTCATTTGGACCATCAAACTTTAATTTCATTTGGTTTCAGTTAGACCCTCAATATTGCGTCCATTTCTAAAGTTAGTTATGGCCCCGTTTGGTAATCATTTTTTTTCAAAATACATTTTTTTCTCTTCTTTTTCACCACATATTTTTATTAAAATAATATTACATGTAAATTAAAAAAAATTTCTTATTTTTTAACTACACATTTCACATCAATTTATTATTATAAAATACATTTTTACATAAAAATGACTATCAAACACCCCCTATGTAAATAAAGCATTTTTTAATATTCAACAAACTTTTTATTGTTTCATAAGCATCATCAAGTCATTTGATCTGGATTTCTTGAGATCCAGATCGACAGTCTATTTGGGAGTTATTTTTTCTTTCAAAAAATTGATTTTTTGACCGTTATTTCACTATTTCAGCCGTCATATTTGACTTCTTCTTTCACAGGTGGAGCCCACTTTTCTTCCAACGATCAAAAAATCAATTCTCAAAATCACTCCCAAACAAGCTTCAAACTAATTTCTATTGAGAATTGTGAAAGTAAAATCATTAGTACTATATAAATAGAAAGGATTGGAGGCAGATTGGAATAGATTGGTTTGGGTTTGGAGTAGTCAAATTTTTTATTATTTCGAAAATAAATTATAGCATGCAAGATTTTTTGTTAATTTTATTATTTCAATACAACGTTTTGTTTATTATCTTGAATAGATATTAATTAATATAAGTTCATATCAATTATAATTTAATTAATGAGTAATGAAAATAACAATTTTGAACCAACATAAATTTTATTTCTTTGCTAGAAATAAGCCCTAACTGTTTGATTCTCTTAGATCCAATCGGACCAATTTTAACTAGGATTGTTTTGACCTGAATCAAGTTGATTTTGATAAAAATGTCCACATTTCATATATATTCTGAACTTTAAACATTTATTTTAGTTACAATAATACTGCCATCACAGGATGTTAAAGACGCTTAGAAAAATCTATAAAATTGGATTGATGTTTAGCATAGCAGTGTAATTGAAATATTTTCAAACTTTTGTGATGTAAATCAAACAATTTAAAGTTTGGTGATCGCAATGAGATTTAGCTAACGTTTGGTGGTCTTTAGTAAAATAACTCAAAAAATCAACAACATTTGATTCAAATGTTGTTGCCCGTTCGAATGTCTTAGCTGGCTAAAGTTGGTCCTAAGCGAGGGGAGATGGGGGGCATACCGTAGGACAAGTCGCTGTGGCGAAAGGGTGAGCCTAGATGTTTTCCAATGAAAATATGACACGTGGACCCCAACAGCTGGATACTGTACCTGTACAGTTGTCATGGCAGTAGAATTTTAAAGAGGAGCCTTTTGCTCTCAGATCAATTCGATTTGCGTGGAATCCACCCAGCTGGATGGACATTTTAAAAGGGGGTAAATCATATTCATTATTAAAAGGTTAAACCCTAACTTTAAGGGTCTCCCACCATCCCTGTCCTGGAGCATCGTGAGGGAGGTAAATCACAAGTTATGCCTTCAAGAGTACAGGGTGGAAGGCTGCTTGTACACTTGCACTTACCCAAGAGTCAAATTCATATTTCAGGATTCGAACCCTTGACGCAGTAGCCTCAAGCAAAACTGGATTTCTCCACCCTCCCCTTTTACCACTTGGAGATGTGCCCTGGGAGCAATCATGTTCATTATTTAGGGCACGTTTGGTTGTACTTTTAAAAAGTTGAAAATTTTGAGATTAGAAATTTATTTTTAAACATGCGTAGATTACTTTATGAAAGTATTTTATCTTACTAAGCACCTGTTCGATAGTGATTATGAGAATTGATTTTTTGATCGTTAGAGAAAAAAGTGAGTCCAATCTGGAAGTGAAGAAGTTAAAAATGACGACAAAAATAGTAAAATAACGATCAAAAAATTGATATTTGGGGTGAAATTTGCTACCAAATGGGGACTAAAACAATTTTTAGAGAATTTTAACATAAGATAACTTTTCAAAAACTTCTTCTTAAAAAAAAATTGTCAAAAGAATCTTTATTACAGTTTTGAGCCTAAAAATACCTTACAAGATAAATATAAAACTCAAGAAGCTAGTCTCTGGTCATGAGGAAAAATCGATGAAAGAAAAAAGGAAAGAATATATTCAATACATAAATTGAGAAATCTTTAAATGCTGCTAGGGTTTTTCAAAAAAATAAATTAATCAATTAATAAGTATTTGAAGCTTATTAAGTTCTTGTTTACTATAAATTAATATTAAGATTTTTAATTTAAATGAACAATTAATTTTATTCACGTATTTTATAGCACTCACAACTTTTCATTCACATATTTTCATTATTTTTTATTAAAATTTATTAAAAATATAATTTTAAGCATCTCCGAAAAGAGGATAGCACTCGTATTAAGTAGAACACTTTACTATTCGTTTTTAGAGCTTATAGAGTTTGTATTTGAGTCACATTATTTTGAAAAAATGTATTTTGAAATAATAGATTAATGGAGAATGTGTAGTTAAAAATGAAGAAAAAATTTAAATTTACATATAATATTATTTTATTAAAAATGTGTGATTGAAATAATATCAAATCACTGTTTAAGAATATATTTTAATTTTAAAAAATGCTACTCAAATAGGTTCAAATCCAGATCATGATTGCACATAAAAAATATTTGATAATAAATTTAAAATGTTGAAAATATTTAAATTTACATATAATATTATTTTATTAAAAATGTGTGATTGAAATAATATCAAATCACTGTTTAAGAATATATTTTAATTTTAAAAAATGCTACTCAAATAGGTTCAAATCCAGATCATGATTGCACATAAAAAATATTTGATAATAAATTTAAAATGTTGAAAATATTTAAATTTACATATAATATTATTTTATTAAAAATGTGTGATTGAAATAATATCAAATCACTGTTTAAGAATATATTTTAATTTTAAAAAATGCTACTCAAATAGGTTCAAATCCAGATCATGATTGCACATAAAAAATATTTGATAATAAATTTAAAATGTTGAAAATATCCAAGCAATGGGACAGGGTTGAAATCATTTTTCGTCCTTTTTTAAAATTTATTTACTGATTTTTCTTTAGCTTTTAAACTAAAATGAAAAATAAGATTTGAAAATAAGTTCAAGGTGGGGATCATATTTTTCTTTCTCCATTTGGTCCTTGTTTGCTGGAAATTAAAATCGAATTTTTAGCTTATTTTGATAAAAGTTGAAGAAATGTATTGTTGAAAATTTTTAAGTATTATAAAATATATGAATAAAATTAATTATTAAATTTAACTTAAATTAAAATATAAATTTAAATTCTTATCAAACGCAAACTTATTTTCTAACGAGACGAAGCGAAAGCCCTTGTTTGAGCCTCATTTTATCAAAAATTAATTTTTTTAAAATTAAATTTCAATCACACATTTTTCAATAAAATAAATCGAATTTTTTTATTTTTTAACTATAAATTCTCAGAAAAAAAATACTATTCTAAAATATAATCATGTTTTTTCCATAGTAAGGCTCAAACAAGGACATTTTATACATTATTGAAAAGAATTTTGCTATACGTACATTAGGGTTGACACTTTGGTGTACACTCCTCTCATATGAAGAATCCCAAGATTTTTTTATTGTCAAGGGATCCACCCCTCATGTGAGAAAAGTGTACATTGAAGTATCAACCCCAATATACAAATATTATTTTACTATTGAAAATTCTCATATGGCTTTGTGAAGGGAACAAAGATGTCGGCTGGGGAGTGTGGGGCTTGTGCTTAGTGGAAGAAGGGATATCACTTTTTATTTTTAATTTTTTTATTCTACTTTGATTTGATGACTGCATTGCTAGCTGGACTATACACACACTTATACCGTGACATCTTTTATTATGGTATTTTATCACATTTAATTTGTGAAAGACATTGTCTATGCATCCCTAGAGATGCGTGCCACATAATTGGTACTTTTATTATCAACTTTAAAATTTTTAAACCAATTCAATATTTTCTTGATTTAAGTTTTCTCGTAAAACACTTTGTTCCTATTTGATTTAACCCTGTTTGAGGCACATTATATTGAAAAAAAAATGTATTTTTCAATAATGATTTGATATCATTTCAATTTTTCTTATTTTTTAATCATACATTTTTCATCAATACACTATTCAAAAATACATTTTCATTCCAATAATGTTACTCAAACAAGGGCTTAGTATCAGTTTGATTTGGATTAAAATCTTATTTTAATTTAAGTCAAAATTAAATAATTAATATTAATCACATTTTTCATAGGTTTCATAACATTTCAACTACACATTTCAAAAATTTTCTATCAAAATCCACTAAAAATCATATTTTTAGAAGATTTTGGATAAAAATTAATTAAATGTGTAATTAAAAATTTGATGAAAGTTTGAATATCAATAAACGTGTGTTTGAAAATAAGTTCAAGAAAAAATGAATTTTAGAAATGGAAGCCAAATCGGGACTTTGGTACGTATTTATGTTAAAAATTGCTCCAAACACTAGTCATTAGAACGAGCCAAAAACTCCATTCAATTCTACAAAATATTAAAAATGTTCTTTCATTAGAATGGAGAGACGATCGAAAACACTATGATGCTTAAGTCAAATTTTGTAATGAAGAAGTGAAATTGAAAGAGGTTAAAGCTTTTTTTGGTACTCTTTAGAAATTTTGAAAGCATGTATAAAATTTCTACAAGTCTATTAAGTAAGCCCCCGTTTGATCCCCATTACCTGAAAATGAAAATATGGGAAATAGTATTTTTTCGAAAA